CAGTTGTCATCATCTCAATACTATCAGTGAGGAATTGGAGAAGTGGGACATAACTTTAAGCAGATTTTCAGTTTTCCAGCCTGTTCTCTGTGTGCTGAGCTGCCCTGTGTGGCCTCAGGTATTCCAGTATGTCTCTGTATTTCAGGGATTCAGCCAGGAAATAATGCAAACTAGGAATTGTTATGCCAGATTGATGCCACCCTAGCTCCTGTTCCAGCAAAACACACATGTAACCTTAAGTTCAGTTGCCCAGGCCCATCTAGTGCTTCCTGCATTTTAGAAAACGTACTGCTAGACTATGAATTTCTCACCTTTTGCCTTTTTGTAGCAGTCTATTGTCTTCAGGAGATCAGGTGAAACTTTCATACAGACATTCTCCAGTATCTGTACATTGTCTTTAGTTAAAAGGCCCTGCTTTTCCAATAAAGTCAGCAAATCCAAAGCAGACTGACAGTCAAAAGGAGAGAATAAAATATAATTATTGCTCCTTAGAAATCAAAACTTCCTTAGAAATCAAGCCCTGCTGCAAACAATCACATTATTATCTGCTTTGCTCCCTACCAGCAGGGACCAGTCAATTTTATATCACTGTTAAAGCAGAAATGCTGCTTCATGGAAAGTCACTGGTTGTATTTTTATTTAGTATGGTCTTGTTTAAATAGATTCACCCAAACTATATTAATGACTTGAGGCTTCAAGAAAGCTTCATTGCTGTGAAACAGTATCAATGACATATGGACACAAATCTCCCTTGCATACGGCACAAGCAGGGCAAAGCTTTGTCACCATTTTACAATGTGATGCTAGACAGTGAACTGTCAGTGACCAACCTTGGCTGGAGGGACCAAATTCTACTCTTGCCTGTCAACAACTTCCTTCTTGCTATCCCTATGAAGACAACCAGCCTAGTTGCATATTATGCTCTATTCTGCCAAACACTTCTCATGCTTTTCCTCCCATTTCCCGCCTTCCCTCTTCCCACCATATACACATTGGCTCACTCCTCACGTACAAGAATTATCCATCGCTTTGGAAGATGCAGGAGGAATATGATTTCATTCAACATCTCATTGGTGATGTTCTCTGACAATTCATACAGCATCTGCCTGTAACAGAGATGCAGTGAGGTAACAGTGGAACAGAAGATGGTATAAAAAACAAAGGCAATCTAAGAATTTAAAAATGGAAAACACTATGGCATAGATAGCAGTAATGGAGGGAAGAGAATTCCACTGCAAGCTTACCTGTATGGAGATACTCTTCCCTTCTCACGCAGATGTTCTTGTACTTTCTCCTTGGTGTAACCAAGTGTCTCGAGCAAGAAGTGACATTTAATTCTGTATAAGAGTTCAGCTAGTAGGAAAGTGTCTTCTGCATTCAGATAGTCTTGAGCCATAAGAAGTTTGAAGATGTCTGCTGCTGACTTCACACCTTCTAGCTGCCTGAGGTGGAGCAAGTCAGTACAGAGAAATTTTAAAGCTGCTACATCTTCAGTCACCAGATTTTCACTAATAAATAAAAGCTGCTGATGGAACTTAAAGCTGACATCATTCTCCATGTTGCTGGAACCAACAGTCTCTGCCTGAAAGCAGAAAGCAAATACTAGTAACACTCGAATCTTCAATACAGCAATCCTCTACTAAAATTTTACTCAATGACTGTTCGGAAGCCCTAAACTACCTTTTAATAAATAAAGGTTTTAAATAAATGTGAAATTTACTTCCTTTTCTAAACACAAGATTACAAAACAGACCAGATTTGGCAGAAGCTCCGAACAACCCAGTCTATAATTGAAGTTAGCCCTGCTCTGAGCAAAAAACTGTGCTAGACAACCTCAAGGTCTGAATTTTCTTTTCTTTCAAACATCTTCCACTTTCAGTCTTTGCTTCTCTCCATTTTAACTGGGAAGAGCACCTGCAGTAACTATTAATGGAGACAGCACAGTGGTTCATGTATATTCCTTGATCTGCAGTCCAAGTGCTTCTTGTTCTCTGGCTGTAGCAGGAGAGTGTTAAGAAGGCTGACACCCAAGCTGAAGCTGTGGAATTTCCATCCACTCCCAGCTGTAACTTGCTTCCAGGTTGTATTTGACATTTGGTATAGAAAAACCCTTTTAAGCCTCTCTTACAAGTGAATGCCAGTTAAAATGTAATAGCACTCGATGCTCAGTCTAAGTAGGCTCTGCATGAGAAACTCAATCTTACTGAGGTTTAATAGCCACTTATCAACCTTCCACTACACCAACTTCTTCGATGTAGCCTAGGCAGTTCTATGCTGCCTGTGAAAGGTTAAATAGGTAAGAGGGTGCGTCAGTGCCTTCTATCTGGTAGGTCTTCAATCTTTTGTTTGGAGCAGCTGGAAGCAAAGGTTCCTACATGAGGGAGCGCAATCAGTGCAGGATGTGCTCGCTGCCCAGGCTTGGCGCGCCTCACCCGCACCTCCGCAGCTGGACCTGGCAGGGCACCGACACAGAAAACTTACGAATCCGCATCTCTGATGTATGCTTTCAGATATCGCCTCGGAGAAGGAAAATCGTACGGAACAAGCAGTATAAGGACCGTGAGACTACCTTTTCTTTTTCTTTAAAGTGTTACTGACCGGAGCACTGCCCCTAGGGTTTAAGTATAATGCGAAGCGGCGGAGCGCCCGCAGACGCCGCAAGCTCAGCCCGCGGGCTCCATCGCGGAGGCCGCGCGGGCAGCCGGGAGCAGCCACTCAAAAAGCGAGCGGAAGCTCGGGATCTGGACACGGGCTTCGTTCCCTCTCCGTTTCAGCCCCGCGCTTTGGTACCTCTCGCACGAACTCCAGTCCCGATCCCAGGGCGGCGGCTCGCTGCTCCTTTCGCGGTCCCTTTCGCGGCTTGCCGCGGGCGGGAGAGGCGGCCGAGTGCCGCGGGCAGGCGGCGAGGGGGCGGCGCCAGCGGCAGGGCGGAATGGGAGATCAGGTGGATGCGAGCGAGGAGCCGGGGCACGTCCGGGGAGCGGGGCTCGGCTGCCCGTGAGGGCTCCGGCCACGAGCAGCGGCACCGCCCTGTCCCGGCCGGAGCCCGCCCGCCCTCGGCCGCAGGGCCCGCGAGTTCGGGGAGCGCTGCCAGGGTTCCGGGAAAAAACTTCGGGCAGAGCCTCGGGTACGAAGTGTAAGACGTGGCCCGTAAATCGCCTCGCTTTTGCTGCCAAGCCGTTTTAAAGCAAGTTACATCGCAAAAAGGCCTCAAACATTTTAGGCACATTATTTTAAATTTTGTTTCCCCACTGGAAGGAAGCCTGAAGAGCAGTGCTTGTGGGAGAGGGCTGCAATACCATTTATCTGTGGGTCTGTGTGTCCGCTGCAATAAAGAGAAGAGAAGGAAGATGAGCAGACTCTGCTCAGTGCCTTCTGCATCTCCGGGGTCACCTGTATCCCCGGAGACAGGATGGGAAGCATCTCCTTGCTCATGCCAAAAGTTGCTGTCCAACACACCAAGAGCAGCCGTGTTACCTGCTGAAACTATAAGGCTTGCCGTCCTTTATTAAGCCAGCTCATTTTTATAGAGCTGTAAACTTCACAGCCAATTTGAACAAGTTATAGAGGTCTGCAGGATAAACAAGCCAAGAATTTCAGTGTTATTCTATGGTGTAGAGGGAGACAGGGACAATCAATACAGAAATTTTATTCAGAATATCAGCTTGAAATCCAGCATTTGTATCTAATTAAAGTGTCTTATTGTTTCTAATACAGAAGCTGAAATATAGACATTCTTTAAACCAGCCACAGAAAAGCTGTCAAGTAATTCAGTACAAGAGATTTAATTTAAATGGAACGTAAATCATCCACACGGATGGCAGCCTCTGCTCAGCAATACCATTCTGCATGTCAGAAACTTAGAACTCTGGAGAGCAGAAAAGAATTCTCAGAAACTCCCATAAAAAGCTTCTCTGACTCATGTATCTGTAGCAGGACCCTGTTCCTCCTTATGCAGAGCTGAAAGGGGAGATCAGCCATACAACATGCTCCATCTACAAGTGCTAGCACAGTAACTTCCCCTTGAACATAACTTCTTTTTTGGATAATGAGTTAGCAGCCACTGTAATACACAAATATGTAACAGTGCAAAGTAAACTCAATTTATGGCTCAGCCACATCAGCATAGGTGAAACCATGCAATGTAAGTCTGGTATTAAATGAATCTCTTGTCTCACGAGTACACCTTCCCAGCCACTTAAAGGCATCTCCCATATTCTGCCAATTCTTTTTTCCCTCTCCCATATATAGAACACATACAGAACTACAAGAATTTTTTTTCCAGTTATCAGAAACCAAAACTGTAATTTAAAGTGCCAGAGCAGTGACTCTGACAGCTTTATTTCAAGCTCTGACAATGCAGAAGCAGTGTAACTTGTTTTATCTCCTTCAATAGTAGGTTCTGAAAACTAGACATTTTGGCAGTCCAAGAGCATGAAATTTCACCAGAATGACACTCTGTGTTCCTGTGCTAACACCCTAAACTCATGATGGGTCCAAAATTCTCTTCCTGCTTTTCTTTCGGCTAAAGGATCGTTTAACCTTAAATCACTTCACTGTCTGCAATACAGGGACAATTTGATGCAGTCCATACCCTGCATCCATTTCTAGACTCAAATTTTATGCGTGTGCTACAGCAAGAAGAGACAGTCCCCACTGTGTGTATGGAGGGACAAGAAACCTGGTAAGGGTTTTGGAGGGGATGCCTTGAGGAGGGGCTGAGGTCACTTGGTTTTTTCATCCTGGAGGAGACTGAGGGGTGACCTCATTGCAATCTTCAGCATCCTCATGAGGGGAAGCAGAGTGGCACAGGTATCAACTTCTTATCTTTGGTGACCTCTGACAAGACTCATTTCCTTTCATTCCTCTGACAAGAGGAATGAAACTGTCAGGGGAGGGTTAGGTTAGATTTTAGGAAGAGGTTCTTCACCCAGAGGGTGGCTGGGCACTGGAACAGGCTCCCCCGGGAAGTGGTCCCAGCACCAAGCCTGACAGAGCTCAAGAAGCTTTTGGAAAACACTCTCAGGCACATGGTGGGATTCTTGGGGTGTCCTGGGCAGGGCCAGGAGTTGGATTAGATGATCCTGATGGATCCCTTCTAATTCAGCACATACTGTGAGTCTATGATTCTGTAAGCTATGGGAGAAGTGACAGACAGCTGCCATCAAAAAAAGTCCTGGATAAATACTCCTGAAGCAGCAGATAGAGGGAATCAGCCTACCCGAATACCACTCTTGAAAGAGGTGTCAAGGCAATAAATACTGCTTAGATGTATGATTACAGATTGTGTATGCCTATGGTTTAAGAATCTACTGAGGACCCAGAGTGAAAAATCACAGACACCTATGAATGCTGCACAATACATGTCTGTCCTCAACATTCTAGAGGGTTATAACCACTTCCAACAAGCAGCCATACACAACAAGAGTCCTTTCCTTTTCCACTTAGAGAGTTAATTACATGAGCCTCTGGTTTCCAAAACAGCATTCCTGCATCATTTCTTAATGAAAAGAACATGGACTTACTGTGTCTTGCAGTAAGGCAAAGAACATATATACTCCTTAACCCTCAAACCAAACTTGTCACAAAACTGCAAAAGCAGAATATATTCTACTGCTAATATTTTAAGTAAATAGGTGCATTTAGCATCACTCAAAACCCCCCAACCAATCAATCCACAAAACATCAACCAACTCACCACATCATTAGTCTGTAAGGATAGCCACTATAATTCTCACTTCCTTTTTCCTGTTTTCTTCTCCTTCCAATATTAGTATTTCTCCTCCAAATTGTCTCTCTCCTACTTGTTCTTCTCTTGATGCTCCCTACCATTGCCCTTCTTGTTCCTGCTTAAAATTTCCACATTTCTTTTCCTCATCTGCCTCCTCTTGGTTCCATTCTCCCTGCTTTTGGTTGTCTATAGGGTAGCAGAAGTGCTTGTCAAATGCAAAAGCTAGTAAGGGAAATGGGAAAGTGAAGTTAATCTGTGAAGATCACATAAATTAACATTACTTAGATATATGTAACTTGAAATGATAACTTACTTCTGCAACCACAGTAAACATTTGTTTCACCATGTAGTTAATTTTCCAGCCACCAGAAGCAACTTCTAAGATTCTGTATCTGTCATTTTGTATCCTCCTCTTTTTCCATTAAAAACTTAACCAGAAACCAAGCAAGGTACACCAGGGCTTTGACTGGTTTTGATTTTTATAGGAGACTATATCAGGAGTAAAAATAAAACATTTACAAGTGGCCTACTTTATTGTCACTAAGTTTGGTGACAATAAACTTCAATGCAAGCCATCCAGGTTATATTGTTATACAAGTAGGTTAGCTGCATTTTTCATGTTAGGCAACTGCTATATTGGAGAAAAAATTTTGTATTTAGGACAATTTTCCCTTTTCTTTTTTCACAAGAGCACTTGGGAAAAAATTAATTAATAGAGGCATATTCTTTTTCATAAGCAAAAGGAGTGAGGGTGGGGTGTTTCAGTCTTAAAGGTTCATGGCTGCTACATACTACATTTACATTCAAATACTTTAAAATATCTTTTTACAACTATGCCTGGTACAACAAGTGTGAATCATATTTCAGCTTCCACAAGACATCTGCCAAAATCTCACATATTTTTAACTGTATGGCAGATTACTGTAATGTCCTGTCACATGCAGACTCATTTTTGCATCAGCAGAAAATACTTGGCCCAAAGCACAGCAGATTGTCTCATTTGTTAATATAGAATCCCTGTGTGCTGTGGACAGTGCTAATGATGCAATCTTTAATGGAGCAATCAGATGGAATCCAGATTATTGAGAAGATCAAATGTCTCTCCCTTCTGTTTTGCCAATCTAGAGAGGCATGCAAGTCAGAACATGTTAGCAAAGATCTGGTATTACTGGGTATGAATGCTTTTCTGAGACATATGCCACTATTAGGTGAGAGGGAAAGTAATTCAGTGTGTTTCAGTGGTTTGGGCTGGCTTGTATTTGTTTAAATGCTATGAGGTATGTTAAAAACCGCCACCAAAATAATAAAAGCACTTCCATTTTTTCTTGGAACACCCATCAGCTATACAGTTTATATACCTTTCCACTCTGTTTACCTGTTGTACTCAATAGCAAGATATGCTGCACTGCTATACAACAGTTACCATTCTCATCCAATGAGAATGGAGTCAGAGACTACTATATTAAAATATAAAATCTAGTGTCCTAGCACACTAAAATGCTTCTAAATTCCTGTGTTTGGAAACAACAGGCACTTTAGATACACATGAAGTAACAATGCATAAAGTAAAAGTATGCATTAAACTGTTTGCATCACTGCAAATGTTTCCATTGTTAACTGTTTCAGATATGTACTTTCTAACAGCAGTTAAGTGAGAAAAAAAAGTTTCTTCCTCAGTGTGTGCTGGAGTAGCAGTGAGTATTGTTGGCCTGGGTCAGTGGTCATATTCCAATCATAAACTTTTTTGTTCAGTTCCATATGGATAGCCAATAGACAGAGTTTCCTGCAGCAACAAAAGCAAAAGTGTTCCATTAGAGAATGAAGGAAGACACCATTTAAGAATTCACAAGAGAGAAGATAACTTCAAACACAGCATGGAGAAAGTTTGCAATTTCAGTCTTACTGCAGAGGCAAGATCTCTAAAACACAAAGCTGTACACGCATTTTGAGACAAACACTTATGACCTAAATCATTGCTGTGATATAAATTACACTGACATGATGATCTGTGATTTCATTACAAGCCTTTAGGGTTTGTAAAAAGGTACTAAATGTTAGCACTGCAACTACCTTGAATAACAGTTCCCTTGTAGATCAGCTGTATAAATAAAACCTTTGTTGGTAAGTTATATATCCAAATGTATCTGATTTTTGCACAGATTTCTTTTGATCTCTTTAAATAGACAAGTTTTCTGTCAGCTTAAGTTCAAGATTACATATTGGCAATCAATTGCCTCTGTGAGCAATTAAATTTATAGAAAGTATAAAGTAGAAAATCCTTCCCTCTCTACTGCCTTTGTCCTGAACTTAAGCACTGACCATTTATACTTGCAAGCACAGCTTTACTTAATGGTACATGGCAATCCTCAATTTAACAGCAGCCTGTTTATCTGGGAGAAGCAGGATTTCCAATCCTATCTAAAGCACTGACATACATTATCCAGGGCAGGTTCTTCCCTTCTCACTCTGCAAACCCCAATGCCATAACACACTTTAATTTTACTCTTCAAAATCAGAAAATTCACTCCTAGTTGAGGCTACCTTTATATGCAATTGTGTGACGATACTTGTCTTTTAGCCTATGACACTGCAAGAAAATACATTTTAGGACCAGATGGGATGAAACTTGAGGTTTCTTATTCTCCATGACAATAAGCTATCATAGAAAAAGGGTTATTTCTTTCCTCTTATTTTAGTTTACCTTTTATATGGATTACGGAGTAGTTCAGCCAGACAATGCAAATAATAGGAGGATGAAGCTGGGGATTGTTCTAATGTAGACACATCTACCTTGCAATGACTCCAAAAGATGTCTGCTGCGTGGGGGATAGAGACTTTAGCACTGATATTCTCACCCTTCCCATCAACTTCCAACAGACTGGTACATTCTTGCTCATTTTCTGGCACAACGTAGCTCTGAATAAAAAAAAGCTTCGGTTTTCCCAGGAGTCCAGGACATGAGTCTGCTGTAAAGTATTTCTTTATTTGTTCCAAAGGGAATCCAGAAAAGGTGGGGTCTGTACAGAAGATGCTCTGAGAGTTTCCACGGCTGACCAATACACAAACGAAGCTGTCACAATTTCTGTGCTTCTGCCACCTTGCAACTTCAAGCAACGTTTGATTCATGGAGTTCATATTTAAATATCTGTGACAATGAACGTCATAGCCTAAGCCTCTGAAGGTCTCTTCCAACACATCTGAAAGAAGCAAGATGCAATTAAACCAAGGCACACCGAAGCTCAATCTCACTATACTGAATTGCAGTACTTATAGTGTTCTGCTATTGAAACTAAGTAGTTTATCACAATAATTAAAAAATCAGGAGTATTTGGTGTTGATCACAGTACATTACATACTTATAGTGCTATATGCATGTTTTCTTTCCTGTGAGTTACATGTTTCATGACAGCAGAGACACTGTTATCTGTTTTGAATTCACAGACACAAGCTTTCCTTTGGAGCCAGTACTCCAGGTTCCTAAGACTTAAAATACAAGGCAAGAAAAAACACACTTGAAATAATAAAGAGTGATCTGGACAGCATAGGAAGTCTGTTTCACCCTTTAGTTTTTCAGAATTACTCTGAGTGGTTATTATAGATACACAGAACTGCATAAGAAACACAGAGGTTTTCTTTCATCAGTCAAAAATGAACCTGCTGCAGTCCCTTCTTCTACCTAAAATTTTAAGTGATAAGCTCCAGCTGAAGAATGGACACTGGAGTCTTAACTGGGACAGAATGGCATTTTCAGGCAAAAAAATAAAGCTTAATAATGAATGCTTTCAATCAAACTAGAAATTAAAATTGTAGGTAGCCAAACCCTAAGACTTAACTCTTACTGTGTTAACCTGTGCTTCAGGAAAATGTGTTAAGACCTGAATAACTACTTTGGATGTTTCTTAACATGGGACTGAAACCAGACACATGATGGTTAAAACCACGGGTATTACATGTTCAGAGAACCACAAGCTACTATTATGACTTCCAGCTGCAGCATTGTGTCTTTAATGTAAAGCACATATACACTGCTCATGCACAGCTTCTGTTAGGAAAAGAATTATCAAGTGCCATGTTTATGTAAAATCCCTTACACACATAGGAAGCTTACACATAGCTGTCTTTGACTTCAAAAATTTAACAAGTCCTAATTAGCAGGGGCTATTTCAGAGGTAATGGCAGCAAAGCAGCTATGCTACCACACTGTTCTCCCCAAAAAGCCCACAGTGAACGCAGGAAACAGAACTCATAACTTTCCTCAGCAAAAGAAAGGGTAGATACAAACTCTACACTATAGTAAGGTGATAGAAAAGAACTATAGTTGCATTCCAGTTCTGCTGGTTTTATTAAATTTTGTAAAATAATTCAAAAACTGTCCAGACATTTTTTAATTTGAGAATAGAAATATAAAGCTCCCTTATTTTATGCAATAAAGCATGCTCTCAAAATTCAGTATCACTACGGTCTAGCAGTTACACACTTGCTGAAGCCCTCCCTCAGTCAGGGGGTAGCAGTACATGTACAAAATGAGAATTACAGCAGTGAGAATGCTTTTCCTGTAATGTCCTGATCTCACTGGCACATGCACATACATGCATAAATACAAAACCTGGCGTCACCATAGTCCCCACACACACTAACTGTCATAGTTTAAAAAACCAACTCAAAAACTTAGAGCTGACACCTTGGCTAACAATTAATCAGAAATTGTACATAGTAAGTCTTGGATACTTTAAGGCAAGACACACCACAGCCTGAGATCAGAAACTACCTATTTCTTCAACACTAGCCATCTCCCAGCAAATCTCCACGGACATTTTAGCATCTCCATTCTACATAAAACACTAGCCTTTTCTCCCCTCATTGTTTATAATGTAAAGATTAAAACTGATTGATATCCAAATGGAAAAGTCAAAAGCAGCTATTTACAAAACAGCAAAATGCATTTCAGTTTGAATTTTATCAGCATTTGATAAATTCATGGTGTTTACACTGGGCATTATAGAATAGAATGTTGTAATTCTTGATCCTACAGTATCTATTACTCGTTCGCCTTCCTGAGATTAAATCTTGGGACAACTACAGACTCTAGTGGATGCCACAGATACAACTTCTAATGTATTCCTTGCCCTCTTATTTTTCTTCAGACTCCAGAATAGTGTGGCACAACTATTCTGCCCTTTCTAGCAAACTCCTTTAAGCAATGCCTCCTCCAAATCTCTTCCAAATCTCACTAACACCATTGTGTATTTCAGTGTGAGTTTTGCCTTCCATCATGTTAAATGCTGACCATGCTCTGGTGACTTTAAACATCTGAGATACAGACTTTCTGTGTGTGAGCTCCACTACCACTGCCCTTCAACTACATCATCGATTCAAAGTTAGTTCATCTGCTGGACCATTGTATTTGAGAAAACCAAAAGACATGCCCAGAATACCTCTCCTTCCCCCACATCTCCCAGCCTATTACAGAAGTGACTGCAAATACTGCTTTCATTTTTATCTTTAGCCTCATGTGTTACAGCAATTAGAGACTGAGGGGTATTTTTGACTGTGCAAAGATCTAATTCCAGGATTCTACAAAGGCAATCGGGAAACCCCCACATTTCAACCGTGGCAGTGACTACACTGACAGCTGTGGTAACACTTTCAGTTTCACTGGGCTGACACTTTAGCTTAACTGTGCAAGATATGACAGAAGCCCAGGTGCATTATTAATGAAGGACCTCATGGCTATTCAAAATCTCTGGTGTCCAATATGATTGCAGTTCAAATCCACAACAGGTTTGGTTTTGTTAACTGGTGGGAAACGCTACCATCTCTGCCAGTAAGCTGCTGTATGACTGTATGACTGCTGTAAGCCTAATTTTTCTGTTGGTTGCTGAATTTTGTCCCTCCCAAAATTCAGTCTATCCTCTTCCAAGTTTTTTCATTCAGAGATTCTGCACCAAAAAAATCAAATGATG